AGCGGTCCCGATCCCCATCTTTGACCCCTTACTTACCCCCCTCCTTTTTCATTCTGCAATATAACTATCCATATTGTCTATTACTTATTATCCTGTTATCCTTTAGGCACTTACACATTGTTTGTTTAATAATTTGTTCCAGTATCTTTCCAGCTGTAGAAGGTAGGCTGACTGGTTTTTAATTCCCTGGATATTCTTTGTCCTCCTCTTTTAAGGATAGGTTCTGTTTCCCTTCTCCAGTCCTTAAGGATTTCACCAGTCCTCTGTGAATTCTCAAAAATAATCTCTAATCATTATAAGATTGCTTAAGCTACTCCCTTAAATACCTAGGATCAATTTTGTCAGGCCCTGACAACTAGAGTACATCTACCTTAGTCTTTAAACTTTTCTTTCCTTATTCTGTCCTGTGTTTCCTTCCACCTTATGGTTAATATTAATTGGCTTAAGCATTTGATCATAATTAATCTTCTTAGTGAAGACTAAAGCAAAATAGGAAGTAAATGCCTCAGCCTTCTCTCTGTTACTAGCTCTCCTTACCCTTTAAGAAACTGACCCACTCTTCATCTTTTTTCTTGCTTCTATGTTATTTATAGAACCTCTTATTTTCTTTTATGTCTCTTACTAGGTGTAATTCATTTTGTGCCACAGTCTTTCTGATTTTGTTTCTACTAGATTGTGCTGTTCTTTTGTACTCATCCTTAGCAATCTGTTTCCATTTTTGGTAGGATTTTTATTTATTTTTATTTACAGATTATTAAAGAGTTCCTGATGCAGCCATATTGATCAGCTACTGTTCTTCCTATCTTTCCTTCTCATTGGGATAGTTTACTGTTGTGCCTTTAATATTGTCTCTTTGAGAAACAGACAGCTGTCATGAATTCTTCTTTCCCTTAGCTTTTGTTCCCATGGGAGCTTATTGCCAGCTCACAGAGTTTGTTAAATATACCTTAACTAATTAAATTATTTTTTACAAAATAATGAGTAAACCACATATGCCAAGGGAAAAAAGAAATTATAATAAATCTGAAATGAAAAAACATACCCCTCCACATGAGCTATTCCAACTAAAAATAGTGCCATGAGGATATGGCTTGGGGTGTTTGTTATCTTGAATGGAAGTCTTATATTTTCTGTGTATCTGCCATAGTGATTGTACTTTCTCAAATATCACTAGCACGTGCACAGACCTTTACATTTCTTTGTCTTAGTACTCAGGGAGTGTGATAGTAAACTTGATTTTTATTTATAATAGGAAACCCATAATTATGTATGTAAATATATACCATTTTTAAATTTGAGATCTGCCTTTTTTTTGTTTGCTTCGTGTTCTCAAATAGTTGTGGAATGCTGAGCAAATACTGGCCATCACTTTGTTATAGTTTCAAAACTTGTCAGTCAAAGATATGTATTCTGTTAAGGGAGATAATTGCAGAATATTCTTGTCTGTCTAGATCAAGAAAATACTGTATTCAGTTTTAGCCTCAACTGCTTACTTGGGGTAGGGGGGAGGGGAGAGAGAGAGAGAGAAATCTTATTTCACGGGAATCTTTTAGAGTATTAATACACTCAACCTCACTATATCACATTGCCTTCAAAAATAAATAGTACAACATCCTTTTAATTATACATATATAGTAGCTTCAAAAGGAGACAAATGACAAAGAAAAATCTGCATGATAAAAGCCCGCTAAACTTGCAGCCTCCCTTGATCAAGACTACTTATAAAACATTCACAGCAAACTCCTTCTCTATCTGTCTTTAAACCTTCCACTAAAAACGCACTGCAAAATCCAATAAAAAATATCACCATTGTCGTCACTGCATCATTGTTATAAGCAACCCTGCTGTGGCTTGCTAATCTCACCACATAAGAACCAGAGTGAAAACAATCAAAAGTGGAGGAAAGGGGGGGTGGGAGAGAGAGATCTCGTGTATTCTAGGTTTAATAGGGCACTGGTTTGGGTTTGGGTTAGAGTTTTTCAGGGGGTACTTTTTTATAATTGTAGAGAGCTCGTGAGTGTGGTGTGGCACTTGCTTAATGTATGGTATCAACTGTATCTCTTTAAATTTATTTGGAAGCTGCTCCTTTCATTTAGTCTACAAATGTCATTTAAATGCAGTGGCACTTTTATTTTCTTCCAACAGTCTCAAGGACAAAAATAAAGGCCAAGTAATCCCGCAAGTAATGAAGCAAACTGTGTCCTATCTGAAAAATAAAGGTGAGATCTGTTTTTTGTTTGTGGGGAGAGGAGGGAGAACGTCTTCATAAGGCATCATTATGAATATGAAGAGCCAATTCACCAGAATACTTAGGCACACACCTAGCATGAAGCATATGCTTAGATCCCAAATAAACCAGTGTCTTCAGTGAGAACCACGCATATGCTCAAGTGCTTTGCTTAATAGAGGCCTCACCCTGATAGGGCTGTTTTATTATTACGTTGTTGTCCCATAAGAAATAATGCTTGTGTGCGTGGGTTTTTTTTTTTTATTTTGTTTTGTTTTGCTTTGAAGCACAGGAAATAACAACCGAGAAAAGAATTCTTGAAATACACATTGTGGCCCATATTGTGCTATTGATTTCTTTTCAAGTAGAACTCCCAGTAAAAATCAATGGGGGGCATTCAGCTTTAAAAAATATAAGAAACTCAGATTTGAAAAAAATCTATTTCACAGAAGTGAGCCTGCCATACTCATTCAGCAAAATATTCTTGTTGTTCATTTGCAGGTCAGACATTATATTTAGAGTTTATAAAAGGTATATCCGTTACCAACCAAGGGCAATATAATTGGTTTCCCTATTATACACCTATACAGGAAATATGAGAGCATGAGACACTCTCCCCTCTTTGTGCCAGCTACCCAAAAGGGTGCAACTTCCCTTCTCACGCAGCTGGGCAAAGCAAGGAGTTTGTGAGGAAAGTCATAAGAACAGCCATACTGGGTCAGATGAAGGGTCGATCTAGCCCAGTATTTTGTCTTCTGACCATGGCTAATGCCAAGTGCTCCAGAGAGAATGAACAGAACAAGTAATAAAGTGACCCACCCCCTTACCATTTCAAGCTTCTGAGAAAAAGGGGCTAGGGACACTATACCTGCCCATCCGTGTTAATAGTCATGAATTTAGCTATCTATTTTTGTAACGCTGTTAAAGTCCTGGCCTTCACAACATTCTCTGGCAAGGCGTTCCACAGGTTAACTATGCATTGTGTGAAGAAATACTTTGTATTCTTTGTTTTAAACCTGCTGCCTATTTCATTTAATTCATTTAATTCATTTATTTCATTTAACTTTTCCTTATTTACTTTCTCCACACCAGCTGTGATTTTATAGACCTCTATCGTATTCCCTCGCCTTAATCTTCTCTTTTCTAAGCTGAAAAGTCCCAGTGTTATTAATTTCTCCCTATATGACTGCTGTCCCATACCCCTAATCATTTTTATTGCCTTTTTCTGAACTTTTGCCAGTGCCAAGAGATCTTTTTTGATATGAGGTGACCATATCTGCACTCAACATACAAGATGTGGTCATACCATGGATTTAAATAGAGGCAATAAGATATTTTCTGTATTATTCTCTATCCCTTTTTCTAATGATTCCTAACATTCTGTTTGTTTTGGGGGGTTGGTTTGTGTTTTTTGTTTTGTTTTGTTTTGTGTGTGTGTGTGTGTGTGTGTGTGTTTGTTTTTGAAGTATCCACAGTGATTCCAAGATCTCTCTTTTGAGTGTTAACAGCTACCGGTAATTTAGTCCCCATAATTTTATATGTATAGTTGGGATTGTGTTTTCTAATATGCATTTCTTTGCATTTATTAACATTAAAATTCATCTGCCATTTTGTTGTCCAGCCACCTAGTTTTGTGTGATTCTTTGGACGTTCTTCACAGTCTTTAGACTTAACTATTTTGAGGAATTTAGTATCATCTCACTGTTTACACCCCTTTATCCAGATCATTTATGAATATTTTGAATGAGATGGGTCCTAGTACAGATGCCTGCAGGACACCAATAGTTACTTCTCTCCATTCTGAAAATTGACCATTTATTCCTACCCTTTGTTTCCTAACTTTTAACCAGTTATCATTCTCTGATAGGACCTTCCCTCTTATCCCATGACAGCTTAAGAGCCTTTGGTGAGGGACCTTATTCAAGGCTTTCTCAAAATCTAAGTACAGTATATCCACTGGGTCCCCCATGTCCACATGCTTGTTGATCCCCTAAAAGAACTCTAGTAAGGCAGGATATCCCTTTACAGAAACAATGTTGACTTTTCCCCAACAAATTATGTTCATTCACATGTCTGACCATTCTGTTCTTAACTATAGTTTCAAACAGTTTGCCCGATACTGACATGAAATGTATCAGTCTGTAATTGCCAGGATCACTTCTACAGCCCTTTTTAAAAATTGGCATCTTGGCTCCGCTAAATGCATCAGCCAATGCAACTGATGAGCATAAAGAAGCAACATTGTGTAACAGGTACAAAATTTGTGTAGTTTACTATTCATTAGAGAAGAGGTGGGGCAGATAGGGACAGAGTATCCTATTGTGGTACCTGGACTGTTGCGGGCATATTGCAACTGTGCATTTTGATCCTTCAGTTTTAAATTTTGATCCTTCAGTATCACTTTTTGTCCAATGATCTCAGAGTTTCACAAACACAAATGAAATCTTCTGGCATTTCTGAAGGGTAGATGCCAGTATCATCCCTCTTTTATGGATGGTTAAACTAAGACGTGGCACAATTAAGTTACTTTGCTCAAGATCACATAGTAAGTCAGTGGAAGAAAAGGAATGGAACCAAGATTTCAGACAGGACCTGTATGAAACCTGTGTGGATAGATTTAAGTGAAAAAAACACTGGCTCAGTCTCTTTTAAAAGCCTGCCTTTGAGTGTGGTGTGCCAAAAATTTCTAGGATAGATAACCTTTTAAATGGGTTTAGAAGTGATCTTGATTGGGTTTTTTTTGTTGCTTGCTTTTTGTATTTTGTTTTGCTTCTGGTGGAAACCACGTTCAGCTCTCTTTTGCCACCCAAAATAAGGCAGTTTTATCTGAGATTTCCTTTTTAAAAAAATTATTTATTTTGATGGTACATCAATACCAAGAATAACAAAATGCCTCCAGGCTATAAGACACCCTCTTCAGACAGAGGCCCACCTAAGGCCCTCTGAATATTGCACTCAGTGTTCATGTCAATTAGATTTGATTTGAATTCATAAGTTCAAATGGTTCAGACCAGTTTAAACTTCCTTTGGAAAGGATCCATGCTAAACGCTACAAAATAAAATTGCCTCTTTTTGCACTATTGCTGACTCCCTGGCAGAAATACTGACTCCAATGAAGTCAGTAACAAAGCTCCCATTGACTTCAGTGGAGCCCAGGGATTGACCCATAGTTTCTAGATAAAATCACGAGGCCATGTAGGCTAAAATTTGAGTTTATATTCCACATTAAATAACAATCCCTGTTGTCCTTACAACAGTTGTTTCACTACAGCAAAACTAATTCATTGGCATATTAGTTACATGTCCACATGGAGGAGATAATGAATGAGAACCTGCTGCTGACTTGGAAAGCATCCATAGAGCTCCTTTGCTCCCATAGACTTATGGATTGCCTCCACTCATCTGCAGTATCCAGAGGTCAAATAATGGAAAGGGGAGTCCAATTCTGCTGTTAATATTAACTTCAGGCTTTCAGGGGGTGAGCACCATTGCTGGAAGTTTTGCTGAGAACCTCTGGAGTTCCACTTTCTGGAGCTTCACTTAACAGTAAACTGGAATAATGCTTCCAGGCCAAATAGAATTAACAGCAGCTGCAGACTGTTTCTGTGATTGTGAGTGTAAATGGGTAACTGATAGTCTCCAGTAGCTATCGTGCATGTGCCAGTACATTAAACCCTCCATCGTGAATACAGTTAGCTCTATTCCAGACACATGCCACTGTCAAGATTTTGACTGCTACTTTGGTATGTTATACTAAATATGTATACTAAATATGTTACCCCACTAACGAGTACAGTGTTAAACCAAAGATGAAGTTGTCTTGAATTATGATATATTTATTGTCTTTACACTAATTCTGAAAACACAGTTAGAACATTTTCTCAGTTTTTGGCTGTGTTTTGGAGCAGTGCACACACATGCACTTTCTCTGGA